CCCAAAATCATCCACAATATCATCATTTTTCCCTCCAAAATCAACATTTTTTACCCACAATATTGTTCAAAATTTTGACCTCTCAATCTCAATCAATATTTAGTCACCTTACCCGTCTCTCAGACGATCCATGCCTCTTTGGCTACATCTTTTGTTTCTTCTTTTTTTTCCTCCCTTTCATTCATTCAAAACTCTGACCTCTCTCTCTCTCTCTCTATTTCACAGGGCACACCACACACCCATAGTGCACACCACACACATACACATTCATTCCCCACACACAAATTGCACACAACACAGGACCCAACACACATACAAACCCACAAACTTTGGACACCAAGTGTTTGTTCGAATGATTGACCAAATGCTAGAGGGCTTGGTCATGTAACTTTTGCTAAATTACACTAGATATTGGAAGCTTTTAACACCAGAAGGTTTTTCATGGCCTCCTCGCTTTTCTTGAGTGCTTTTCTAATTTATACCCACTACCTTTCTGCCTTCAGTCTGTGCTCTCCATGTATTCATATGAAGATTTTTTGTTAAGTTTGTGCTTTTCTATTGTTGAATGTGACTCTCCAATCCTCCTATTTTATTATGCAGTTTAGATATGGTTTCAGGATGAGTAGTTTGTTTTGGTAATTTTCATGCTTATAAGGTTTATCCTCTTCAATGTTTACTATAAAAGGTCAGAGATGCTTTGTAGTTTGTCCAAATTTAAAACAGGTAATTAATTTTTTAGGGGAATGTATCCTTCCCATGACACAACACAATTAGGGAAATATCTGATCCCACTAGTGGAGGATATTGCTGCATTTGATGATTCTTATTTTTGAACTTGATCCTGTGATATAAAAGAAAAACAAAAAGCTTCCAGTTGATGAAATAGTCTATGCCAGATCCATGAATAGTTTGGTGGACTTTTGGGGAGGGGAATGTATTCTTTCCCATTACCATGCACAACTAAAGCAAAATTTGAATGTGTGGTTCAATTTAATGGGAGTACAATTTAGACTTGAACCGTGGGCACATTACTTAAGTACTTAACAAAATCACCGTAATTTATTTTAATTTAGCTTTGAAGTTATAGTATAAATCGAAATTAATTATGTGATCTTCCATGTTCATACCTACTAACAAAAGGTAAAGAAAAAATATAAGATCGCTTTGGAGACTGGTACATTCATTATCTTCATTTTGCATGCGCAAACCTGTTCTTGCTTATGCTTGCATGCTGTTCTTATTCAATTTATATCCAATTAATGTTCCCATTTTTAGGTGCTCTGGGAAGTTGTTCTTATATTCTATTTTTTTTTCACTCTTGATCTTCCTATTCATTCACTTGCAAGTTAACTACCCTTTTTTTTGTCTTTTCCAGGTGAAGCGAGAAGAATTGCTCCAGTTTGCAGAAGGTGTTATTACAGGGTTGAAAGTTAGTGCTGATATTGGACGGTAATTCAGAATGACCATTTACATTTTCTTGTTTACTTGGATGTGTTCACTTGGAATTTAGGTGGAGATCAAGATCTTTTAGTTGGGTTTTATGTTCCTCTTATGTGAGGTCTGAGCACATTTAACTTACTGCCTCCCATTATATGTCGAGGTTTATCCTCTTCAATGTTTACTGCCTCCCATTATATGTAGAGGTTTATCCTCTTCAATGTTTATTTCCTCCCATTATATGTGAGGTCTGAGCATACTCCAGTTGATAAGCATTTAGTTTTTACAAAAGAAGATGCAACTCCAAAATCAAAAATCAATTACTTCTATCTACTTGATTTAATCGCGGTAAGTGAGATTGATTGATGAAAATCCTGATTAGTGACTTAGTCATTGCAGGCAAGTGTTCAACACTCAACAACCCATTCTAATAGCTTGTTTTGCTATGTGCACATTTACATTTTTTCCATGAGTATTGCTGAAATCAAAATAATCTCTCTTCATAACTTCATACCTTTCCTACATATTCATTCCTAAAAATACAAAAAATTGAAAATGTAATCCAACCACTTATGTGTCACTGGTAAAGTGCATTGTCCCCTGGAAACTATTTTCCAAATAGGATCACTCTTTTCTGAATAGGAATTATGAACGTTTATACATCATTTTTCATCAAACACCCACACACACATTATTTTTCATCAAACACCCACCCACACACACACACACACACTTTCTCTCTCTCTCTCTCTCTCACACACACACACACACACACCCATCCTACCCCCGCCTCTTCTCTGTCCTCTTCTACACACTCATCACCTATACTCACCCACAAAAATCACACACACACATAAACAAACCCAGACCCATCACACACACGCCCAACACAGACCCACCACACATGCACCCACACCCACTCACCCACACACACCCACACCCACTCACCCACACACACCCAAAAGGGAATAAGTTGGATGATTTGATGTCGAAGAGAGACTGAGAGGTTTTTCAAACAATCATTCTATCCTGCATTCTTGCCACTGCCATCGAAATTCACCCACGAATTTCAATTAATTTTTCAAAATACATATAGAGAGATTGTGGGTGTCTTTCTTCATACCTTCAAATACAACAATCATTCTCTTCATACCTTCAAATCTCATGTCTAATTTAGAGTAATTTTTTTAGAGGATTAAAGTAAGTATGATTTTTTTAGGATTCACATAGAGTAACAGTTTTTATTTGTTGTCTTTCAACAAGGGCTTCAAGGTAAGTCTCACCATGGGCTTATATATTTCGTTAAAGGTTGTCCATAAGAAATTTCTAAGGTTTTGTTCCTTTTCTTCTTTTCCCCCTTTATTGAACATGTGAACTTTCTTGCTGTCATATTATTCTTTTGAAACAGTTTGTGCGATTATTTCTCTTGATATTGCTCTCTCAGTTTTAATAATTTTCTGTGGTCATTGTCATTCAACTTGAACAATTTCAACTACATCCGTTAACAAGTAATTATGTTTTCCCTACTCTATGGGTATTTGTAATTGGTATGTACTTTTTTTTATAAATAATTTTTGTTGGGTATGTGATGGGTTAATGAGTAATTGTTGGGATATGCCGAGTTGTTTCTATTGAATTCATGTTATGGTATTTAAAGACATTGAAATAATGATTTTGATAATTATCTTTTCAGTTATTAAGCATACTTATTTTTTTGTTTAAAGATCTTTGCATGGTAAATACAGCTGCCCCAAGCTTTCTATATTAAACTCACTTGTTAATTTTGTATGAGGCAAAGTCATATATCAATCTCACAATTCTTTTGCAACAAAATAAAACTATTTTTCTTATTTTACTGTACATATATGTTGACACGGTGGATAGCTGAAAAACCCATGTTCCCTCCTAATGCATAGTCCTAATGCATTGATAACATATGTATGTAGCTGTACAATGTATCAATTAGGTTGATTTTTTTTTCGGCATAAATTGAATGTTAATGACGTTTGGCAATTGTGATTGATCCATGCTAAACATTGCAATGATCAAATTAGTTTGCCTTTCATATATTGGTAATATGAATTGTTTGTTTTGGTCATTTGATTCAAAATGGTGCATATAGGCAATTAATATTCAGCTGGGACAAAGTGAATTGGCTTGGTTTGGAGTCATGAAATTGGATTAGTTTTTATATGGTTTAGATTATGTTCTATGCATTGAATGGGCATATAATTTATATTGAAATCGTTTCTAGCTAGCATTCTTTATGGATTGAATTCATTGTGCTACCACTTTTAGGAATAGCAACTTTGCTTACACTATTGTGGGTTTCTCCTTATGTCCCTCTAGATATATATGTGGATGATGAATGAATGTGTTTATTTTTTGTGAATTTTATGTTGTGAAATAATGAATTATTTTTAAGGATTTAACAATTAAAATTTTGTTTTTCACTTTATGGATTCAATTAAGTAAACCCATAGTTTTGTTTGTCAAAAGGAATAAATCTAATTTAACATACACCTTTTTCTGTGTCTCAGCCCCAGTGAGCATTTTGTTCATCCCTTTGGTACGTTCAATTGTTGTCAACTATGATTGCAGCCGATGGATGAGAGTTAATTAGGCAAGCTCGATCTATCCCCCTTGTGTTTTTTTTATCTTGTGATTATGGGAACTTGGATCTTATTCTATATATCTTTTAATGAATATCTTGTGGTTTGCTTGGAATTAGTGAGAATATTGCTTAATTTTTGCGCTGCAATTGGTAAAATGGTGAGTGAATCTTGCATAATCTTGGAATTTTAGTTCCCTCTAAGTGGCAGCTTGAAGAGGATTTTTGTTCTTTTTGCATTTTTAATTTGTAAAAGTTTACAATAATAAAGAGCGAATCTTGCATAACTTGGAATTTCTATTAAAAAAGATATTGTACAAAATAAAGAGCGAAACTGTTAAGAAAGAGAAAGTTTACAATAATAAAACAATAACCGTTTTAACAAACAAAGCTATTAATAAAACAGTAACTGTTTTAACAAAAAAAACAGTAAACTGTACAAAAAAACAAAAATGCCGTTAAAATAGATTCGGTATAGCAACTGTGTTTTTGACCCTATAGCTCAGCTCCAGCTCTCTGATCAAAGCCCTGCAACTTTAGATAGCTTGCAGCCTGGGACCTGATGCAGAAGGAAACTGNTTGACCCTATAGCTCAGCTCCAGCTCTCTGATCAAAGCCCTGCAACTTTAGATAGCCTGCAGCCTGGGACCTGATGCAGAAGGAAACTGCCCCCAAGAGTTGGCTTTAATCCTTCAAGAGAATTAAAGCTATTAATTCAGCTCATGGGAACAAAACTCCTCCATTCCATTGATGCAGTGCTTCAAACTTCTCTCCTTTCATGCCTTACACTCCACATTAAGCACTTGAAAAATTACTCAAACCCAGACAAATTTTAGAGCAGCAGCAAACTGCCAAAATAGCAGCAAACCATTGATGCATCAAACCTTTCTGCCCAGTTACATAAATCATCAATCCACAATCCATAATCCACAGATCCAGACACTACAAATTCTTATCCAGCTCCATTACTTTTATCAAACACAACAGTCTTCTTCAATCTAGCAGTAGGTAATGGTAACCTACCTTGATCCTGCGGTAAAAGCTGTATTCCAGCAAGAGGCAAACCATCACTTTTAAAAAACTTAGAGCATCTGCCAGACTGCATAGCAAAAGAAGCCAAAAAATTAGCTGACATTGGCTTCCTTGTATATATGTCTCAACTTAAACCTTAGTTTGTCAATGATCCTCTAGATCCACTCTATAATATCTTTCAACCTCCATGACACTCCAGCTTGGCCCAACACCATCTGAACCAACACTTGTGAGTCAGACTCAATCCAAAACTGATGACCCTCCAAATCATTGCTCAAAATCATTTTTAATCCATCAAGCAAGGCCCTGCACTCTACCCTCATATTAGATCCTGGCCTATAAAAGGCAACAGCTGCAAACACAATAAGATCCATGGAGTTGGATATTGAGGCAACAACACAAATGAGTGTATGTAATAGTTAAATGACCTATATGAGTGTGCTTTCTTTATGGTTCTTCCAATCCTTTTATTCTCTCACAATGTCTCTTTCTCTCACACACAATGCACATAACCCCCCCAACACACACACACACACACACACTCACACTCACATACAATTACACTCACTGTTTGGTTAATTAGGTTCAATTTGAATGTGATTTGATTAGGTTCAATTAAAGTTTTTGTTACATCCACTGTGTTTTAAATTTGGTTGTTTGCGTGAATCCTACCTTTTAGTTTAAGTTGGTTAAATATATATATAATTAATTGCTTTGCGTGAATCCGCCCTTTTACATGGTTTTTTTGATTACGCCTACAATTCAATTCAGGTGTATACATTTTCTCTCTTTTGGATTTTGTCTTTTGAGCAACCTATATTGTCGTGGGAATGCTTTTGGTTTATTTTATAAAGTGTTGGAAGCTATCAGGATAATAAGCTTCACATTCTAATTCTATATTTTGCATTAAATTTGTCCAATGAGTTTTCACCGAATAATTGCACCAAGCTGAGGAAATTGACAAAAATATTTGCACTGGTTGTAGGGGAATGGGTTGGTAGAGGATGGCTATAAGGGGCTTATTGGGGTTATATTGTTCAACCACGCATGATGATTTTGTTCATTGGACATAGACTAGCACCATCGAGGGATTCACTAAGGTAATTAATTTTTAATTCTTTTAATTGTTAACTAAATTTGATTTGATAGTTGAGTTAGTTTCCATGTTTAAATTGTGCGAATGAGAATTTTTGGGGGGTTTTGAATGGAGGGTTTACGAATTACATCAAAACTAAAGTATTAGTGATTGGAAATAATAATTATGTTTCATTTTTCCCATATGAATGCTAAAACTGATAGTAGTTTTTTAGTAAGCTCGGAACTGCATATTGAAAATCACCGATTGTTTCCGAAAAACTCTTTACCAGTAAAGATGCCACTAACAATTTCACATGACACCACTACACAAGTAAGAAAATTTTTCCTATCATTTCATTTCATTTCCCTTAAAGCCCCAAGTTTGTTAGTGATTCACTAAAAAATAGTTGGTTTTTGTTTGACAGTTGGAAAAGAAATTGTGGGTTTATTGGGTCATATTTGGTTCCAAAGTCTTGTTGAGTGAGATGGTTTTCCACTAACCAAGATCACACGCATTTTTCATCTCATATTCTGGGAAACATACTTGCTTATTTCTCTAAAATGTGTTTGTGGCACTTGCAACAAAATTTGGGACAGTGCTATAATTATCAATTTTATGTTGAATCCAACTAACGATAAAAGTAGGGGGTCTTATGTTTCGAATTTACAATTATTTTATTTTGCCTCACATATTTCGATAATTGGTTATATTTCAAATATTTTCAGGTATACATGAAAGGATATGAAGATGAAGTTGAAGGTGTTTCTCTATTTGTGCATGTGTGTATTTTTTGTGTTATGTCTTTTGTACAGTTAACTAATTATATATGGTTATGATGGTTTTGTTTTGGTGGTTTGGATAAACATGGTTATGATGATTGTGGTGATATGTATAATTGTAAATTTTATAGAAATGTTTATATTTTTTTGGGCTTCTATTTTTAGAGAAAACTTTGCCCAAATTTCTTGAAATTAGTAGGGACTAGCTTGACTTTTTGGTGGTTGGATATGTGTTCATAATTGGGTATGTATTGATTATTGTGGTGGTACGGTGAATTATGATGATTGTTATATATGATTGTAAGTTCTGTAGATATGTTAGATTTTTATGGGTTCCTATTTTTAGAGAAAATTATGCTAAAATTTTGAATAATAGTATGGACTACCTTGATTTCAAATTGACAGATTGTTTTATATTGCAAAGAGTCTTTAGGTAATGTAGGATTCTTCGAGTTTTAATTTAATTTTTCATTACACTGTGCCTTCAGGCATGGACAATTACTAGTATAATGACATTCCATAACCATCACCAAGCATGTTATAAGCATTACCAACTCAAATAACACACTTGCATATACATATGCATTTTATCAAACATCTAGAGGGCATAAATGAACACACATTGCATACCCATTCATTTCACACATACTTGACATATTCACCACCCTAATCAAATAGAATTACATATAACATGCTCAATATTTCGCCAAACATCTCACTAGTTTTTCTAGCTATATGGTGGATATGTAAACGTTCTACATGACCCTACCCATACCTAGAAATGCAAGTAATTCTAAATAGGAGGAACCCTAACCTCTTGTAGCATAAACAAAGAATCAAATCTCTTTAGAATACCCAAAAATAACTCTTCAATGCCTAGCCCTAGCCCTTTCTTTTTTCGAAATTTGGGAAAAATGGTTGAAATTGGTGTTGTCGGATTGCCCTCGTCGAGAAAAGCGAATTTTGTTCTTGGGGTTTGATGATGCAATGGTTGGATTTTGAATTATGGGAGGAAGAAGAATAGAGAAGAAGAAGAAGAAATTGGGGACTTTCTCTCTCACTCTCTCTCTCTTTCTCTCTCTATCTTTCTTTATCTCTTTCTCTCAAGTTTTAGCCAAGAAAATGGGAGGAGGAAAATCTGATTTTTTTCCACCCTTTAATCTCCTTATATACTTGGCCTAGAATGTGGCACATGTCCTCTTTTTATTGGTTGGAAATCCTAGAGAGCCAATCACAATGTGCTACTTGTCTACTTAAATAAGATTAGTTAACTAGTCTTTTAATTATATTGTAGGTCCAGCGAATAAAACCGAAGTTGTTGGAATTTTAATCGCTCGTTTCACCTCGTTTTATATAAAAATTCCAACTGTCTCAAAATTCAATAAAAACTGATTTGTTAACTTGATTTCATGAGATGAATCTAACAGTGAGGTCCATTTCATCATCCAAATTATATAAAAAAATATATTTTTAACCTGTGATTAAACAACTTAATTAATGTATTACCCCTTCAATTAAATTATTAAATTTCTCTAGTTTTACAGACAATGTGCATTTGTTGGAGAATGAAACAAACCCCCCAATCTATCAAGTTTTCTTCATGCAATGGTCCTCTAGAGTTGTGTAAAGAAATGATTTTTTATGAACAATAAGATGCTATTACTTGTTACAAAGTATATGCAAGGTGAAAAGGGTTTTAGCATTCGAAAAAGTAATACTCGACTATATCATTTGATAAGTTATTAATTGGAGTGGTATTTTATTGTAATAAGGAAGGACATCATCATCTAAGATATCAAATGAAACCTAGGAATGTAGTTAGTCGCTATGTAACCATAATTGGATGTAAAGCAATGATGGGTTTCTAAAAGGATGAAGGAAAATGGGTAGTATGTAAGTTTGTTGTAGACCATAACCATGAGTTATGTTCTTCAAAAATTACATTGTCACTTTGAGGGCATAGAAAAATAACCCCTGCTCATGGAAATCTTATTGATGTGCTTAATGATGTGGGTGTACCAACTAGAAAGATAATGTCCGTATTGATTCAATAATCCGGTGGTAATTGTAATGTTGGTTGTGTTACAATGGATGTCCAAAATTATTTAGAGAATAAAAGGAGAAAGCTTTTGAATGAAGGGGATGCACAAATAATGTACAATTACTTCATAAAGAAACAATCAGAGGATCCATGCTTTGTTTATGCAATTCAAATGGATGAAAATAGTTGCCTGGGAAATTGTTTTTGGGTGGATGGAAGGTCAAGAATGGCATGCCAATCATTTGGAGATGTAGTCACTTTTGATGCTATATACTTGACTAATCGTTATCATATGCCTTTTGTTTCTTTTACGGTAGTCAACCACCATCACCAATCAGTTATGTTTCGTTGTGCTTTACTTGTGAATGATACAACATAATCATATGTATGGTTATTAAGAACTTGGATTGAGGCTATGTGTGGATACATTCCAACTATTATTATCACGGATGATAACAAGGCTATGACAAAGGCAATTGGACAGGTATTTATGAAAACTACTCATCGTTTGTGAATGTGGCATATTTTGCAAAAGCTTCTTGAACATTTGGCTTATGTTTTAAATAAGAATCCCTCATTTCAAGGAGAATTCCATCATTGGATTCATGACATGGTTACAATAGAAGAGTTTGAAAGTGAAGGAAATTAATTGACTTCCAAATATGAATTAAGGGAGAATGGATGGTTGAAAGTCTTATACGCGCGTCATGAAAAATGGATCCCAGCTTACTTAAGGACAATGTTTTGCGTCGGGATGTCTACAACCTAAAGAAGTGAGAGTATGGACAATTTTTTTCAAAGATTTTATCCATTCAAGCACATTGGTAAGTGTCTTTGTTTACTGATACGAGAAAGCATTGGACAAAAGATGTCAGAGTAAGAAAGAAAAAGATGCGAAAGAAGAACCACAACTGTAATTTTGAAGACATGTTATAAAATAGAGGCAGAGGCGACAAAATTATATACTAGAATTTTTTTTTTTACTATTCCAAGAAGAATTGTTTTCAAGTCAAAGGCATAAGGCAATTAAGTATCACAAGGAATGAATGGTGAAGACATATAGGGTTATGCCAATTAGGAAAGAAAAGCTGGTATATGAAGTAGTGCTTGATGTTATGCAAAGAAAAGCTATTTCCTCGTGTCATATGTTTTAATTTATGGGAATTCCTTGTGGACACATTCTTGCAGTTTTTGTTAAAAAATCTCTTGTTGATTGTCTCCCTCAAGTATATGTTTTTCAAATATGGACAATACATACAAAAGGTCATGTTGCACATGAAATTTATAAGGATAAGGTGCAAGACGAAGTACAAATTTCTTCTACTTTGATGTGCAATAGTTTGATTATAAAGTTTTTAAAAGTTGTTGGAGAGGGAAAAAAATCACAAAGGAAACATAATCATCTCACACTTGCTTTGCAAAAGGTGCACAATGAACTTCTAGTGATGGATGATGAGAATGATGAAAATGAAAAAG